ATGGGGTCACCTCTATGGGGTCACCACTATGGGGTTTCCTATATGGGATCAGCTCTATGGGGTCTCCTCTATAGGGTCACCTTTTGGGGTCCCCTCTATGGGGTCAAAAACACTTGTGCACTGCACTCTGTGTCACAATGAAGCTCTTGTGCAACGCACAAGGCGCCGTGCAAAGGTGCAAGGGTGTGCAATGCAGGTTGTGTTGCACCGGAGCCCTTGTGCAATGCACGCTGCTGTTGGATTTGCACTAAAGCACTTGTGCAACACGTTGCACACTGCTGCAATGGGGCTCTTGTGCAACGCAGTGCACACTGCTGCAATGGAGCTCTTGTGCAACACAGTGCACACTGTTGCAATGGAGCTCTTGTGCAATGCACACTGCTGTTGGATTTGCACTAAAGCACTTGTGCAACATGGTGCACACTGCTGCAATGGAGCTCCTGTGCAACACACTGCAGACTGTTGCAATGGAGCTCTTGTGCAACGCACGCTGCTGTTGGATTTGCACTAAAGCACTTGTGCAACACGTTGCACACTGCTGCAATGGGGCTCTCGTGCAACAGTGCACACTGCTGCAATGGAGCTCTTGTGCAATGCACGCTGCTGTTGGATTTGCACTAAAGCTCTTGTGCAACACAGTGCACACTCTTGCACAAAAGCACTTGTGTGCGCTGCCTGCACTCAGTGTTGCATGGAAGCTGTTGTGCAACGCACTCTGCTGTTTTGCATTTGCACAGAAGCACTCGTGCAACGCCGCGCACTTTGGGCTGCAACGAAGGACTCGTGCAACGCACAAGGCGCCGTGCAAAGGTGCAGGGGGGTGCCATGCATCGCTGTGTTGCACTGGAGCTCTCGTGCAACGCACGCTGCCGTTGGATTTGCACAGCAGCCCTCGTGCAATGCAGTGCACGCTTACAATGAAGGATCTGTGCATTGCACGCCGTGCAACAGAGCCCTCATGCAACGCACCACGTTGTGCAATGCATGGTTTGCACTGAAGCTCTTGTGCAAAACGTGCTGCGTGCTTGCTCCAAAATCCTCGTGCAAAGCACAGCACCGTGGTGAGTAGTGAAGCCCTCGTGTGATGCACGCTGTCGTGCAACGAAGCACTGGTGCGACAGCGCCGTGCAATGCAACATTCATTGCAACGCGGCCGTTGTACAACACAGGTGTTGCTTTTGCACGGCAGCCCTCGTGCAACGCACGGCGCTTTGCTTGTGCTCGCCCTCGTGCAAGGAAGAGGTGGTGGGGCGTGCAGCGGTGCATTGGTTCAGAGCAGCGTTTGCAGCAGCGCCGTCGTGCAAGGGACAGGTTTACAGCATGCAGTGCAACCCCTGTGCCGTCGTGCAATGCACAAACACGTGCAACCCCCCCCGCCGTTGTGCAAAGCGTGACCCGTCGTGTCCATTTGTGAGTTTCTTGTGCAAAAGATGGAGGTGGAAGGAACCCCAGATCCTCGTGCAAAGAACCCCCAGGTCCTCGTGCAACGGGTGGCGACGTCGGTGCAACGGCAGCCTCGTGCAAGGCGGGACCTCGTGCAAGAACAAGCCCTTGTGCAACACGGGACCGCGTGCAACATGGGACCTCGTGCATCGCACCCTCGTGCAACAGGGGACGCTGTGCAATGGGGGACGTCGTGCAACGCAGCCTTGTGCAACAGACCCTCGTGCAACGCGCCCTGGTGCAGCTGCGAGACGTGTGAAGGGACACAGAGACGCCGGGGCTCCGTGCAACACGGGGGGGGGGGGCAGCCCCTCGTGCAAAGGACTCGTGCAAGGAGCGGCTGCCCTCACACTCAGACTCGTGCCGGGGCCTCGTGCAACGGATTGGTGCCCTGCAGCAGCGTGCGATGGGACGTTGGAGCCCATGGGACTTGTGAGATGCTGGGCCTTGTGCAAGGAGCTCGTGTGTTGCACGGCCCGGTGGGTTTCCGTCGTGCGAGGGGCCCTGGTGCACCTGGATTTGCCTCACGGGGCCTCGTGCAACACGAGGGTGAGATGTGGGGTGGTGTGCGATGCTGTGGTGCAACACAGGGCCTTGTGCAACACAAGGGCGTGAGGTTGGGTGGTGTGCAACGCTGTGGTGCAACACGGGGCCTTGTGCGACTGCATGGTGCAACACGGGGCCTTGTGTGACTGCATGGTGCCACATGGGGCCTCGTGCAACACAAGGGTGAGATGTGGGCTGGTGTGCAATGCTGTGGTGCAACACGGGGCCTTGTGCAACACGAGGGTTCAACAGGGGGGTGTGCAACGCTGTGGTGCAACACAGGGCCTCGTGCAACATGGTGGTGAGATGTGGGGTGGTGTGCAACGCTATGGTGCAACACAGGGCTTTGTGCAAGTGTATGGTGCAACACACGGCCTCGTGCAACACGAGGGTTGAAAGAGGGGTGTGCAATGCTGTGGTGCAACACAGGGCCTTGTGCAACTGTGTGGTGCAACACGGGGCCTCGTGCAACACGAGGGTTCAACAGGGGGTGTGCAACGCTCTGGTGCAACATGGGGCCTTGTGCAACTGTATGGTGCAACACGGGGCCTTGTGCAACACTCAAGTGCTGCGTGGGGCCTCGTGCAACACAAGGGTTGAACAAGGGGTGTGTGCAATGCTGTGGTGCAACACAGGGCCTTGTGCAACTGTATGGTGCAACACGGGGCCTTGTGCAACACGAGGGTGCGAGGTTGGGTGGTGTGCAATGCTGTGGTGCAACACGGGGCCTTGTGCAACTGTATGGTGCAACATGGGTCCTCGTGCAACACGAGGGTTGAAAGAGGGATGTGCAATGCTGTGGTGCAACACAGGGCCTTGTGCAACCCTCAAGTGCTCCATAGGGTCTTGTGCAAGGCAGTGGTGCAACAGTAGGCTGTGTTCACCTTTATGGTGCAACACAGGGCCTTGTGCAACATTCAAGTGCCACACGGGGTCTTGTGCAAGGCAGTGGTGCAATGCTGGGCCTTGTGCAACACTCAAGTGCTCCATAGGGTCTTGTGCAAGGCAGTGGTGCAATGCTGGGCCTTGTGCAACACTCAAGTGCTCCATAGGGTCTTGTGCAAGGCAGTGGTGCAAGAGTGCAGCTTGTGCACCCTCACTGTGCAACATGGGGGCCTCGTGCAACAGCCCTGTGTCACACGGGGCCTTGTGCAACACGAGGGCTGGTCTGTGTGCAGCGTTGTGGTGCAACACAGGGCCTCGTGCACCTGTATGGTGCAATGCAGGCCCTCGTGCAACGCCCCCCTTGCGAGCCCAGGCTTTGCACAACACCCTCGTGCAACCGCACTGTGTTTTGCACGAGGCCTTGTGCAACGGCACGGCGCCAAAAGAGCTCTTGTGCAAAGCCCCCGTGCAGCAGCGTGCGGTCAGAGGCGCCCTCGTGCGACACGGGGAGGCGGGGGGGGGCTCTTGTGCAAAGGCGCCGTGCAACACTGGGCCTCGTGCAACACCCCCCTTGTGCAAGAGGGCCTCTTGTGCAACACTCCCTTGTGTCACCCCTAGTGCAAGAGGGGTGTCTTTGTGCACTAGTGCTTTGTGCAAGGGTGCTTTTGTGCAACACCGCCTTGTGCAAGAGGGCCCTTGTGCAACAGGCCTGTGCACCAGCCCTTGTGCAAGACGTGTCATCACGCGCAACACCACTGCTTGTGCAAGAGGAGGGCCCTTTTTTGCACCACAGCTCGTGCAAGGGGGTCCATTTGTGCACCTCCTCTTGTGCAAAGAGGCGTCCCCTTGTGCAACACTCTTGTGCAGCACCCCTTTGTGCAAGAAGAGGGCTCCTTTTTGTGCACCACTGCTTGTGCAAGCGGTTCCACTTGTGCAACACCCCTTTGTGCAAGAGGAGGGCTCCTTTTTTTGCACCACAGCTTGTGCAAG